TTTCAAAGTTAATAAATATGCCAATTTTTATACATTTCTAGGCATGTAAATATTTATATAGCCATTCTTAAACAATATTCAAAGGTAAAACTAATGGAAAATACATAAAAATATTGAGAAAGTAAAGAAAAAATAAAACATTATTTAAATATCTTTATCAATAGGGTAGGTTAGGTTAGGTTATTGGGTTTTGTTCAAGTGACCACCCTCTTTCGATCTCCCACCTCCACCCGCTTGAAAATATTTTTTTTATTGAATTTTATTTGAATTACGGTGTATGAAAATTGTCAAAATAATCAACTTTCAACCCCCATAACTTTTTATGAGGGTGAGACCGCCGCAAATTTTTTATGGGGTTTTACTCAGGTGACCACCATCTTTCGATCCCCCCTATCCCCAACTCCATCTAACCCCCATAAATTTTTATGGGGGTGAGACCGCCACGAACTTTTTATGGTACAGCGGTGGGGGAGACCTCCTCTTTCGATCCCACCCACCCCCACCCCGAAGTGGGGGGCATCATCTAGACATTTACCAATCTTTCAAATCAAATATTGTAGGTGGGTACTTGATTATTTATCAAATGTTCACTAGATTTCCTTAATTAATTTGATTGAGTTATTAGTCTAATATATTTTTCTCTCAATAAATTGATGATTCTTTCATCGTTGACGACTGAAAATTAAAATTTGTTGGTTCTTTTGTGGGGGTTTTTAAATTTTTTTCGCAATTACCACTACGTCTTTACACTGGATGCCATTACAACCGATATTTCGTTACCGCATATTTCAATTAATTATAGATTTTTATATTTGGTATTGACACATTTGTCTACAATCTTATTCAAAAGTTAATTTAAAACTGAAAAAGAATTAGTTAATGTACCTAGGTATGACATTTTAAGTGAGTATAGAGATAAAACCTTAATAGTTAATGTTTGGGTTAAATTATTTTTCAATGCAGTTCTCTGAAAAGATCGTAGATTTGGTAAATCAAGTTTTAAAGTTACTTACCTACCATTAAGAATGTACACTTTTTTTAATTAAGATAGGTGCTGTTTTGTTGATTAATTACAACCTTCGACTGGCGAATATTGATGGCTTATTCATGAAGTTCACACGTTTCAAAGGCATGATGGATTTTAAATTTTTTATCAGCTAATTAACGTAGAAACCTCCTGATGTGGATGAAATCGATTCATTCTAAATGAATAGTAAAGCTGACTT